TTGTCTTTACTTTAGCATGAATCTGGAAGAGTAAGTTAAGTGAGAGCAAGCACTTGAGCTTCTGTGTCAGAGCTCAGGCAGTATGATAAAGGAAACTAAACCTCATGGTTACGGGTGTTGTATTACTGCTTGTGGAGGTCAGGGAGATATTTTTACCTTGGTGCAACTAGTATGGGGAAACTTGGAAGACCTGAGCTTATTTTGAAACTAGGAGATGTCCAGGTTAATTGTTAGGATGTGTCATCAGTGTCATCTCATGCAACAAACTTTATGGTTGGAGTCCCATAAGTGTCCTCACATCACACTTAAGTTGGTTGATCTCGTAGGTTGCTCAGTGCCACGCTATATGAACAACTCTGTATTTGTCCCTGTTGCAAAGGACAAATTTTATTACTGGAGTATTTTATCACTGAAGAAAATGTTCTTTTGGATTATTCTATGCTGGAATAATATACATTATAGCTGCCCATAATGTTTTGTCATTAAAACAAAAAACCAAGATAAATTTACATTAAGTGGTTGTACTGAAACAAGCAGAAGGCAGCTGCATTGCATGTTCTTGGAGTTAAATCCAGTATATACTGTACAGTAAAATTACAGCTGTAAAATCCTGATAATTATATTTTATTTTGTTCTTTAAAAAGGCTTCCTCTGTCCAAGAAAAAACACCTGATTAAATAGCTGTAAAAACAGACAAGAAAAATCCTCTCTACATGCCCAAGCATACCTTAAAGTAACAAATCCATAGTGAACCTTTACCTCTGCATTTGTCACTATGCAAGGAATTGGTACAGTTAATTGGCGTTGTTATAAGCAGGAGAGGCCTGGCCACAGTGTGTGTACCTTCTCTTGCTACCAAAGATGAACATACGGAACACTGAAAAAAAAATGACAGCTTTCACTGCTGGTGGCTAGTTTGGGCAAAGAAACTGAGAGTTGCCATCAGATTTTAAGAAAATAATTGTGTTGGACCCACTAAGAACGTGGTGGGCTTGGCAGTGTTATATTTACAGTTGCACTTGATGATCTGAGAGGTCTCGTCCAATTTAATTGATTCTAAGAACAAATTAAATTGCTATATTCATATACTAGTAATGGAATAGCAGAAAACATTCCTACTAAACACACTAAAATAAAATAAAATGCAACAGCTGAGGAGTTCATACCCTATTATTTATCTCTTATAGAAAGTAAAATCAAAGACTATCCCATTTTGGTCTTGAAAGACATGATAATATAAACTAGCATCCAAATTTCTCTTCACTCGAATATTTCATTAATTCTGTACCTAATTGAGAGATTTCTATAAAACAAATCCGCAGATTTGAATACCAGCATACAGTTGATTTTACTGAAGAGAACAGGTTTTAGTCAGATATGCCAGACTGCATTTGAACCAGCTCTGCAGGAGTCAGAGCAGACAGGGAGGAGACAAGAGTATTGGCTTGTTTTTCAGAAGGCTTCCCTGAGATGAAATATTTCTTTGGCTGTAAATCTTCTTGTCTCATGCAGGGTTTAGTAAAACTTGTCTGAGACATGTATTTTATCAGAAAAACAATCAAATTTCTGTGTGAGGTCATACCAGTTAAGCACAAGTAACATTCTGTTTGTTTTCCATGATTTTGTTTGCATTTTAACATATGTTGTAAGTTTTTCCTTATGTTCCTGTGTCATCATGCAAAAAGAGGGAGCAAAATACATTCATGCAAGAAAATAGCATTGTAAAAATAGACAAAGGGGACAAGAGCAGGTTCAGGGTAAGAAAGAATCTTAAATAGTTATCATTTTTCTAAATAAAAAAACCCCTTGGTTTAGTGGCTCACTCAACAAACATTTAAAGGATCGACAGAAATCTTGCTTGATAGAGATTGCCTTTTAATAAAGATGGAAAAGACTTTCATTATATTTGAGATAAGATGACCAGCCACGATCCGCAGAGAAGCAGAAATGTAGGAGCACCCTTTCTCTTTAGAATTCACAGAAACACTTTTGAGAGTGGAAATAATATCCAGGGCTCTTTAATTCAGGTTTTCTTTATTCCATCTTCCTATAGCTGACTTGCTAACAGGCACATGAGTTCACAGGTAGATTTTAGTGAAATAAATAGTGATTGAGATACAGGGCAGTTATAAATATTCATGTTATGTAACTGCCAGTAAAAAGACATTAATTTTGCCCTTAGATCACTTTAAACATTTGTATATTGCATAAATAAACTGAACAGGCTGAGGAAAAAGGCTTAGCAAATCGCTGTTGTTTATATTCATTTTGTCAACTAAAGAGCTCTTGTTCAGGTAAAAAAAAGTTCCATGAGTATTGCTAATTGCTCTGGGTGTGGGAAAGGAGACTGTGTTCATAACTGCCTTTGAATCTTTTTGAGTGCCTGCTTGAAAGCCACTCCAGAATCATAAAGCTGTAAGAACAGACAACTGGTTGGTACCAGGTCCTTTGTTTCATCACTGCATATTCACTACCTCTGCTCCAGGCTGTTATGTTTTTCCTTCACCTCCTGTTTGCTAGACCAAACAATTTTTATCAACGTGTCCTTACATGTCAGGTTTCCTCACTGCTTATCAGCCTTCCTCTCTCTTCTGGGCTCTGCTTAGTCCATGCTTAGAGCTGAATACTGTTTTCCAGCCAAAGTATTGTCAGCATGGAATGGAAAACAGTGGTTACTGTGGCACCTTGCACACACACAAGAGAACATGGCAGGCATTCATCTCACAGTTTTCCTTGTAGTTGACTGTTCTTTTGCGACAGTACACTATCACAGCATGTGTAAAAAACAAAGACAATTCTATTGGGAACACATTGTGCAGCTATTCTAAGGTCAAAAGCATCATAAATTTTTAACATTTTTTTAGTTTATTTTTCAGGTGTATTCCTTAGTAATTTCTCTCAGGTTTTTTTTTTTTTGTTGTTTTGTTTTTTTTTTGTTTTTTTGTTTTTTTGGGTTGTTTTTTTTTTTTCCCCCCTGGGTAACAATCTAATGAGCTGAAAGAAGCTTTGAGCCCTTTTTGGACCAAGGAAAATAAATATAATGTTTGTAGTCATTCTGTTAACTAATATGAACACTTTTCCTTGAAATCTATAGAAAGGACTAACTATACAGAACTTTCTGTAGTACAGCCAAGTTACTTCTCAAAGGGTAAAAATTCAGTTGTACTTTCTGCTCATATGGATATTGCTGTTGCTGTGTGGGAAGTTCAAGATCAACAGCTGGAAATAGGTGTTGAATGTTACCACATTTCAGGAGGTGAAGAAATTTATATTCTAAATCACTGCCATTTAATTCAGTCTGGTTGAAGGAGGCCACAGTTTCTTCAACTGATATATCCCTTACTTCTGTGGAAAGGTCAACCTTAAAAGCCCAAAGATGGCAGGTTGAGGCTACAGATCTCTGTAACTCTTATTTGGGATATATTCTTGGTTAAGAGAAATAAAGGCAGGAAATAACACAATACTGATCACAAATTTCTGTCATATCAGCACAAAATCTGGAAATAGTACATCTGAGCTTCTTGTCTACCATTTTTGTCATGTTGAGATTAAGCAAAATGCAGTGCTGCAGCTACCAGCAGCCTTTCTTCAACATATACTGAATTTAACTGTACAATTAATGTATTCCTGCAGCTACGCTAACTTGCATGTAACACAAATAACTCATTAAATATGTTCTTTTCAGACCTTGTCAGGTAGTTTAATTTATGGTAGACTTACCTTCAAAATCCAGGAGTTTTAACTCAGCTGACATACCAGCTGTCAAGTCAACCATGCACTCAGTAAAGGGAATGTAGTACCAGGCAAAGCAAGCAAAGGATTACTTTCTTTGATAAAGAATGTAATCAAAACTGTGCTAAGGCCTTTTGAGATCCAGTATAGTATTTTGCAAAGGTGGCAGGAAAAGCATGAAAGGGAATATAGCACAAGATGATTTCTTCATGCATAAAAAACCCCCGCTATCTTAGAAACAACATGTGTTACTGAAGGAGAGTATAGTTAATAGCTGTGTAGCGCTATAATCAATAAATAGCAGTAAAGAAACCTAAATTATCTGTGCCTACCTTGAAGATGTTTGGGTCCTAGTCCCACAAGTATTTAGATATGAGCTTAACCTTCTTTACAAATCTTCACATGAATAGCTCAAGTGACTAAACCTGTGCAAGTATGAAAACACTTGCAAGGTTGTGTAGAATTCAGACTTGAAACAGTAAAATAAGAATCCTTGAGGTTTAAGATGTTTTGGTTAGTACTTTAGTTTTTGTACATTTTGGACTACTTACCTGGTATAAAATTATTCTATGTATATTAGCAGTCTATTAATGCATTTTTAAAAGTTTTATAAATGAGTATTTTATGAATATGCACTTGTTGTCTTCCCCTGTTATTCTCTGGAAGTGTTTTTAACAAGCACTGGTGACAACTACTGAGTGGTATTTATAGCTTTGTTTGCTTTGCTCTCTACTGGAAGGATTAATCTCTTAGATATTTCATTCCAATACCTCAGATTAATTTTCCACAAATTACCCTCAAAGAAATTCTAGCGCAGGCGTTCTTACATTGCAGGAAGTATCCCAGCTAAGATAAAGGTGTTGTATAGATAGGAAGAAGGGCAAGGGACAGTTATTTTACAAGTCAGCAAAAGATAACTGCAACCAGCATTCAAGAAGAAAAATATATTACAATAAAGTCAGAAAAATAACCATCTGCCTACTCCACTTAGTGTTCCTTTAATAAATCCAAATAGCTTCATAGAATTTGAACAACTTAATTTTAACATCTATTAATTCTAGTTTTGTCTTTCCTGAGTAACTGCAAAAGAGAGCGTTTTACTAATTACTTTGTATGGTCAGTCCTGAAGTGATTTCTTTTTAGTTTTCCCTTTGTTGTTTTCTGGAGTTATCTATGTTTTGTCTTTCTGTCCTGGGCCTCTAGACATTCTTCACATTCAAGCCATGTTTCTTCCCATAGATAATAAAGACCAGTTTGGTTCTTCTATCTTTACTCTTGCTCAATGTCGTTTATTTTATGTTGGTTTATGATATCAAGAGAACTGCAGAACACAGAGGCGAGGATGGCAGCAATCTTAGCTAATGAACTAGCTTGTGTACAATCAGAATACCAGAAGCTTTAAGCAGTTTGATATGATCAGTAGTTAAAATGCGATCGACACATTACATCAATGTGTTCGTTACATAGCCAGTACACTATGGGCCTTATAAGAGTATGTATTTTTGGTGAAACAAAATGAAATTATGCTAGTTTCAGGTCATGGTACTCTAGTTTTGTATCAAATCTTTTTATATCAACAGCAGTTTCATTTCAATAAATTAGTATCATCCCTTCAAAATTACCACACGTAAAGATTCCCAACAGCTACAACTGTCAACAAATCCCAAAATTTAAATGTTTCTATTACACCAGGGAGAGCTATGAGAAGGTCTAAGCATTTGGCTATATCAGCTTAACTATATAGCAAGGCTTTGGCAGTAGCATAGCTAGTTATGACAGTGTTTTTATCAAAAGTATCAGTACAAAAAAATCTCACACTCATGCACGGGTTTCAGTTGAGCAAGGTGGCAAAGATCATGATCAAATAACATTATTTTTATTAAATTTAATATGAATTTAATTGCTAAATAACATTGAATTCTATTCAGGCTCTTTTGAACATGGAGTAACAAATTTGCCTTTGTTTTGTAATTTGTTATAAACTGTCGTCTTGGTTTATCTTTTAAAAAATTTGTGTAAGCATGATAGTAATAGATTTAACTGTAAGGTCACATCCTATTACAAATACTTAAATTCGAAAGCTAAATACAAGAAGAACAAAAATATGTCTGGAAAAACAGATAATTTGTGCTCCCACTGGTTTGATGCCAGTTCTGCAATTAACGGGTAAGACTGGGTTTAGGTCTGGCATCAAATGATATTCTCAAGTAGGCAGCTGTTTCAAGAAAAGAGCCCAAACTGTTTCTATGTCAAAAACATAATGACAAAAAAATCAGCATAGCCTGCCAGCTGGCATATCTTTCACATGAGTGTAAAGTGTCCAGCAGAACAACTCAATGGAATGATTTTTGAAAGCTGATAATTAAGTTTCAACAATATTGCCAGTTTCTCTCCTACAAGTCTGTAAATATTTCCCACAGGTGAACGGTTATCTGTTTTACTCTGATAATTTTATGCCTTCTAAACAGCCAAAACACCATGACAGCAGCTCTTTTCCTCACAAGCTAGATATGCTTTTTTAGAAAAGACTGTTGAAAGTTCCCATTTAAAATGTAGATTGAAAAAAATTCAACAAAGTAGATGTTTAGTTCCTTTAATAGGCAAAACTACTGTCAACATGTTCTGATAGATATTGCTTTTAATCATAACAATATATTATCTCAAGGCAGTCTTTAAGATTAACAAATTTATATTTAAAAAAATATGGTTCCAGTAGCATTGTAGTATGTGATGGAACACATCTCACCTCTTAAATGTGCCTAGAAAATGCGTCATCACTGTATTTAAAATTGCAACCTGCCAAACTACCGAATTCAATAAGCAGCTTGAAACTGCAAAGAGAACAAATGCAACACAGGGGAACAAAGTAACATGGTTTTGCATTTGATATACTTGTAGATTGTATAACAAGTTCTCATGTTAATCCAGTGCCATGAAGCTTGAAGAAATCCCACTGTGCCTTCAAAGAACCAGAATCCTATATAACCTCATTTTCATGATAATTAAAATAATCTTACTACTTTCCTTTACAGTTCAGCAGAACCACCGTTTCAAAACCATCGGCTTGGCACCTCTTCTTCCTGGTTTAATTTTATGTTTGAACTGTGGACATACTTAGAGAACTACACAGATGTAAGGTATTAATGTTTTTCCATTTAGTAAATACTTTAAGCCCCACTTCTCCAAAGTGCTGCTATTGGTGCCCCATTTTCAGAGCATATGACCATTAGTGAGTGACAATAAAATCATTTATATGCATAACATAAAATTTCCAATTCTTACTTGAGGCCCTGTTGAAGAAATATTTCTTGAATCTGTTAAGCCTTTCACTCTAACAGCTGGCTCAGATATGAGCTCAGTGAAAGCCAGTTAGATTTTTCTTCTCATCCAGTAACCTGTTGTTTGCTCTCCTTATTTGTAAGGGTTTAGTAACAGCCGTTCTTCAATAGCATGACTTCCAAAAAGTCATGATCCATTTTTCTTCCTTCTAAAAAATCAAGGAAATAAGGTGTCGTGTGACTTGAACTATATTTGGTCTGGCACACATTGCAGTCCTCCCATCTCTGAGGTCCAAGTTAGAATTTCTTATACCAGTCTGGTAGTTTCTGCAGGCAATGATTGGCTTGACCTTTTAATCCAGCTAGCTTTTTCCACTAGAGGACTAAAATCATAGGCTGTAGGAAGGATTGACTTCAGCCAATGGGTTTTGAAGAATTAACTTGAATCATTGCCATTCCAAATTACCAGTGCTCAGATGCACATACAAACCGCAAAAAAATAAGTCACAACAACAGCCTGTTTACCTATTTAAGGACAGTCTGGGCAATGGCTGCCTTGTCCCACAGGACTTGGTCACTGAAAGTAGAGTCACTACAATCTGTGCTGCCCTCTCTCCAAGGCAAAGGCAAATGTCCAACAATGCCCGAGCACGCCTGGTCACCGTGGGGTAAGAGGTAATTGTTTCATAATCCATTCTGGACAACATTTGCTGTGAACGAAGGACATCGAGGATGTGGTTGAGACGTCCTTCTGTCATGCAGCTCAATATGATCTGTCTCTGGCATGCTAATATTTGACAGCAGTTTCCTTTGCAGCAAGAATCTTGAGTGAAAAGGAGACAAAACGAGATAAACTAAGTGTTCTTTTCTTCCAGAAGGTGTTACCAAGTGATAGCATCAACACCAGAAACAAACTTGGTGGAGGAAAGGAGTAGGAGTTAGTTTATTTGCATTCTGTGTTCAAAACTAGTCCAATGTATTTTCATCTTTTGTCAAAACTCATAAAGATCAGATTACAGAAAGTAAGTGTTTCTAAAGATTATTAAGTGCTCAGATTGTATAAGGGGAGGAGATTTTCAGGTCTTGTGCTATTCAGCTAGCACCTATATCAAACTTCATGCAAAGCAGCTTAGTTTGACATAGACAAGAAAACTTTGTCCTGTAGGAAGGGGAAGAACGGATAATAGGTAGTCCAGGGTAGTAGAACTGTTTGGAACATGTAGGATGAAACTGGGAACTTCAATATGTCAAAGCCAAACAGTAACAAAAGTAATACTCCCAGCAAGATGATCAAGAGCTTTGGGTTCTGTCTGTTTTCACAAGCCGATTGGAATACTTAGTACCGACATTAGGGTTTTTAAGGTAAAGTAAATACCATACATCAAGAGAAAATAACCAAAAGCCACTGTTGCTTTGGAGAACATGCCTCTGTCATTCTGATTTCTGACTGTTGCCAGTAGAGTTCTGTGATTAATTCTTCCCGCTTGAACTAGTCTGTTGATTTATCCAGAAATTGCATCATCACTTGGAAGTAAATTGAAGTGGAGAAGGATGGCTAGCTAGATGTGAGAATTATCATAGGCCACCTTGCAAGAAGTTAGCAAAAAAAGCTCAAAGCTTCACCTACAGGCAGAGGCAGGCTTCACAAATCAGAAGCTGGCCCTTTTTGCCTCTATTCAGCAGGAAGAACTGAGACCATGTAAGTAAGGAAATTAATGTCCCCCCTCCTCCTAGTCACCTGTTTCTGTAGTCAGTATCTACTTTTTTTAGAGGCATAGAATACATAGCTTAAAATGACGAAAAAAAAATTTCCAGACTTAAACATATATTTTATTTCACATTCAATGTGTGCTATATTATTTTTATTATGGTTTTTCAGAACTGTTCTCAGCCTGAATATGATCCTGAAAAAGAACAAGCCATTGTTCTCAGTGGCCAGTGCCTGAACTTATGAGAACATAGGAGCAGCTATACACAAATAGACTCATGAGATTTATATCAAGTTTGGAGGAGTTACTACACTAGATACCTGAAAATGTTCACAAAATGTAGAGATCCGTGTCCTCCAAAATTCAAACAATTGAAGCATTAAGATCTGGCCAAGGAGAATATAACCACCTCAAACTGGAAATGGTGTCTTACCTGTCACTGCTTGTGATCTGTGCTTGAGAGCCAGTGGTGGGTCGTTATGCTGACTTCTTTCTTTGCCTGCAGTTGAAGCAGATAAAGGAATTGTGCAAAAGGAGTTTGATTTTCTATTGTCAGAGCCTGGGTGATCTAGAAAAAGTTTAAGATGAGCAAGATGAGATGTGTGAATTGAACAACAGAATATTATACATGTCAGCCACTATAGAAGACAGTAGTCGAAGTGAAGACTACCTTGAGAGCACTTACTTATTACTAGCTGTTCTTTGGGCCCTTGTTAATACATCATTATTCCTAGGAAGATTTTGGCATATATTACTACACACATCTGACTTTTTCAAACTGTCTGTAAGAATTTGTTTCGGAAGTTATGGAACATTTTATTCTGTCCGTAAGTCTGACAGCTATTGATCAGAACTAAAATGCTTGGAAATGCAGATGTTGCTGTAAGTAAATTGATTTCCTGTGGCTCAGCTTTGGGATCTAAAGGCATGAGAAGTATAGAAAAAGCTTTTAAGGAAGTATCTCTTCTTGACACAAATTTAAACACTTTGATAAGAACAAATCCACTTTGGAAAGACAAAAGAAGTTATTTATGTAGGAATTATGATTATCAGGAATCATTCACATGTTCCTGGCAACACAGTCTTTTAAAAATATATCTCTTTTCTTATTAGCAAATTACAAAAAAACAGTTGTTCCTGGTGGCACGAGGCAGTGTGGTTTCCATGAGGGACTTGTTCTGTCAAAGTGACAGCCAATATTTGATGTGCGAGGGAAGGGCAGCTGTACATGTAGGTCAGGGTTCTAAAAGCAAATTAGCAAAAAAAGGGGGTTTTATCTATTGTGGCGTCTCCGGTTTTCAGTGAGCTCATGCTTCATATGATACCAGTAGAGGGCACAGCTATACACTGAGAAGGGACAATTTTATATGGGAAATAACATGTCTAAGGAACAACTATTAATATTTATCCTTTTCTTGGCACAGCTGGAGCTGAATATGTTTCAAGGTAGAGACCTTTCTTTGTTGTTGTGTTCTGTGGGATAGTGTTTGACAGACCCGTCTCAAGAATATTTTCTCTTCCTGGATTATTTGCACTGCTGTCAAGTAGAATAGTTGACAAGCTTGGCACCACAAAAGGAATTTTCTTGCTGATTAAGTGGTTGTTTTTTTGTGGACAGATGACCTGAAAAAGATCAAAATAGAGAAGAATTATCTTCTTCAAAGCTTTTGTTCCAAAACCTTTACTAAGGAGTTTGCTCTTGGAATATAAGGCAGTAGTATCACAGTGCAGGGCACAGTAGGTATGCATCTATTGAGCCTGCAGACATACTTAATATAACTTTAGGTAGTTACCTGGGGTCACTGTGCCAGCCCAAATCCATAGGCTAACTGTCCTAGCGTTTACTGCAGTCCTAGATTGTTTCTGCAGCCTGTGCTGCCAGCAGCCATGGTGTCACTAGAACTTGAGCTGTTTAAAGCCAGCTCTGATCCAGACGTGAGCTTCAGTTTTATCTCTGTATCTTTCAGTATTGGCAGGCCTGCCACAAGTGCCAAAATCACTTTGAAAATGGGAGTTAATTGTATTTTGAAGTTATCACAAAGTAGTTGGCCTTACTCTAAGAAAACTGTTTGAAAATGCTCGAATTCAGCCTAGGTCGTTTTCCAGCCATCATTTTGAACACACTCCAAGAAAGATTAGAATTTTGCAATTTCATGAGGACCTCTTCAAGGAGAGGTTCAAAGCAACTCTTAAGTGGAAGAGGTTGTTTTTGCAAGAGCAACATCAGAATCAGCTGCTTGGAAGAAGGTAAAACAGTTGTTTTCATTGGTTAATTGGATGGAGCTAATCCTTGTTAGGGACAAAAAGGGTTACAGACGTTTTGCTCCACAGTGTTTTTATTATACTTTGTCAGGGCTGACAGGAGAAACAAGCAGTTTATGAAGTACTTCTGTAAGACTTTCATGCCATGTGCTCACCTCTGAGTTGTATATGCCATTCTGCAATGTGTATATTTCTGGACCTTTGCACGCATTAAGTGCTGTCTCCTGGAAAAGATAGCACAGTTCTAGTAAGTATACATATGGTTTGTTCAATTAATAGTTGTCAGGAGCAAGAATTTATACTGGCACTAACTATTTTGCATTTTAACACATGGAAGTGGGCATAGAATCTGACACAACTCTACACTGTTTATGTTGTTTCAAATGTATTTTATAACTCATTTTTTGAATCATGCAGGGGAAGGTGAATAGTCCTATATTGAGAGAAAGAGAGATTGGGCTAGTTATAACATGTTTTCCTTCAAGTATCCGAAGAGCAGGACCATCCTGTGTTTGGTATGTCAAACTACCTGCAATAAGGATTTGTCAACACTTGTAACTTTTCCATTTTGTACAACTGCAGCAGACTTGTTAAACTGTTTTTTAATTTATATAATTCAATATTTATTAATCAATCCATTTTCAAGAATCTCCAGTAGGATTTTCACAGTCATTTTCGATGTATTATCCGTTCAGTTGTTTGAACAATAAATAGCGCTCTTTGCTAATTTGGCAAATAGAAAAATAAAACCTTGCTCAAGGGAGATCGAAGTATTAGTTTATGGAATATTTGAAAGTACAATCCTAAACTTCAACAGTAGTAAAAATTACTTGGACTATAACTATGCCACCTATTAAAGCATTGATCAAGTCTGCTCTATAATCCCAGAAGGTGATTGCAACATGTAGAAATAATCCAGTGTGCACTGACATAAACAACTCACATAAGCACAGCAGTGAAACCAACAACACAGCATGGGTTGTGTAAATCCAGATGGAGTCAGAATACTTGTTCAAGGGCTGAGGCATGTGACACTAGTTTCCGTACTGTGTCTATCTAAATTAATTCATAGGACATAGCTATATTTATGCCAGATTTCCCATGGTAACATAGACATACATACAGAGTTATCTGTATCCCTCAGTTGTTGGCTGTTCCCCATCCTTTTCTGTGGTATCAGAGAACCTGTGCCTGAAGCATGTCCATTTAGAAGCAGTGAAGCGTACAGAAAAGTGCCAATACTAGTATTGATACGATAGGTACAAACACGGTCCAGGTTTTGGACTACAGGTCTTCTAACCAGTACATACAACAAAAATTGTCCTTGGTTCTAGCCGTAAGCTGATCTACTTAAGGCTGATACTTGTTCTCACTCACATGGGCCTACCAGTCTGACTACAGCTGGTGACTGGAAAGAAGCTATCGTATTTTTATAATCGCAGGTAGCAAACAGTTTCTGGAGAACCTCACAGTATCTATTTTATATAATTCCCGAATTAACCTGAAGTGCCAGAGTACCCTCCAGCTCTCTGGCATGTCCAATAAAACAGTGAAGACAAAGCCTTTCCTGGTTTTGGACCACAAAGATTACAACTGAGAAAAATCAAGTAACATCCTTGTAGGAGAATAAAACTTAATTGTGCACTAACCTTTGCATCCATTAGATTGTAGATTGCAGTGGAAATTGCCTCCTTATTTATACTAATCAAAATTCCATTTAGAAGGTCTACACATTCTGCAGGGATAATAAAACATTCTAAATACCACATTGCATGTGAAAGTGTGTATGTATTTAGGCATCAGCATATTGCAGCTTTACTATTATTGTTGAGTAACTAGATGGACTAGATGAAATTAGTTCAATACAGCTTTCACCTCATACCTCCTGCTCTTGGTTTCCATTTTGAACTGATTTTAAAGAATTATTACAGCCACATTAAAATCACGTTTTCTTAAATGTTCATACAGATGTACTTGCAAAAGGTATACACGTCACTGTATAAATCTATCACAATAAAACTATATGCAAATTGCTACCTCAGCACTTCAGCTTTGAAAATCTGCTCAAAAGTCCTCATGTATCACAATTTTAACATTTCTTGTCTGTCTTTTTAGAAACAGCTGATAAACTTAGTTTTGCTAAAGTAAACAATGATAGCACATGTCAAAGGGAACTGCTTATGCATTGGAATCAAGAAATTATGAAGACAGGTTGATCTAGTATATATAGCTGATAATATCCCTTCATTTATTTGTACGCATTTTTACTGTATACTAAACACAATTTTGGAGATAAGTTAGCCATTTCTGGTAGGAAGCTTCAGTTAGAAAAATCATCTACAGTACTCTGTTGATCTAAAGACTACTTCCACTTCAGTTGTGCTGTCATTGATTTAAAGTGCTAGAACAGTATTCTCAGCAAGACTATCTCCATTGTGTATGTTGCAAAGAAAGCAAATCCTGAATGTTACCAGCAGTGCGTGGTCTATAATCTGGTTCTTGATGCCAGCACAGAGCAATAAGGTGCAACAGTCTGTTCCTCTCAGGCAAATTGCTTGGTATGAACTTTTCTGAAATGCTAGGCCGCAAACTTCTGCAGATTCCTGTCAAAACTTCTAGCAGGGTTGTTTGACCTGCAATTTATAGGAAAATGTCACTGCAAAAAAATATTTAAGACTGCAAAACTTTCTTAAAATTATATTCAGCATAAGTCATTTTGTATATTTTAAAACAAAGACTGTTTTTTTAAAAGCAAAAATATATTAACACGCTTCTAAACAGATATGCTAACCTTTAACAGTAACTATAGCTAGTTATTGCAACAGGACATTTCAGGGTAAGGAACTCTGTCCAAATAATAATTCACAAATGGATATGTAAATACACATTGTAAACTACATGCATAGATACCTCAGGAATACATGTAATTATTATAGGTATCTTCTAAGCATGCAGTTTTATATACACCTGGATAATAAGAATGTTACTCCTGTTGTACAAGAAGAATCTACATTGGGCAGCCACAAGCCCTAAATTGTATGAACGTTAAGGTACTATATTCTATGCAGTATTTCTAAGAGGTCCTCAGTCTGTAAAATACATGAATCCTTCAGTCAGTTTTTCCATGCATAATAGAGCCCACAGCAAAGAAGCCTTTCATTGATCTCCACCTCCATGAAATGGGGATCATTCATGGACCGTGACAACTATTATACAATTCTTCGCAAACTAAATTATTTAACTACTCACAGTTTCATCTAAGAAAGTAAGATTCCCTGGCTACTTAAGAGAATTCAGCATGAACTGGCATTTCTTGATTGGGATTTGAAACTCATGGCAACTTTAAAAATGAGCATTCTGCTCATCCAACTAAGCTGCTTGTCACTAAAATGTTCCCCAATTTTAAAATGACAACCATCAAATATAATTCTTTCTCACTAAACGTAAGTGGAAAACCCAACTCGGTAACCAAGTACTTCAGCGAGCAGAGAGAGATGATACAGGTGGGGTAAGAAGCTTTATGCCTTTCCCCTTCAGAAAGATCAACTTCTTTGGAAATACTGAGGATTTGTTGAGAGATTCTAATCTTTACATCCCATAATGTGGAACTTTGTGCTGTAACTGTAACAGAAGGCAAAGGGACATCTGAAAAAGACAATGCTGTTTATATCATAATTTCCCAACAATAAGGGAATTTGTGGAAGAGATGCGAGCAACACAAAGTCTGACACAAACAATAGAGGTAAATACCTTCAAAAGGTTTCTGTCTGCTTAGGCTCTCCCAACACAGTATGCCAAAACTGAAAAACAAAACAAAACAAAAAAGCCAGTGAAATACCATTCATTAGTTTGCAATCCATATGTGTGTTCTCATTTCCAAGAGCAAGTTTATTGGTTTAAGAGAAAGGAGTTTTTCAAGACAAAGTATATCTAAGTCTTTCCTAATTTGATTAGATCCTGTTTCCTGCATTATTAAGTTTCATTTTAACTGAGCTGTTCTTAAAGTAATAAATCTGCCAGAATGAATTAAAATTTTTTTTTTTAAACATAGGATCAATTAGAATTACATTTCAGGTTACCATCTTACCTCCATTTGCTCTTGTGAATTTCAGAACCTTCTGCTCTCCTTTCTCTATCAGTTTTGTTTTGTTTTCAAGTCATTCAAATAGCAACTGAAAGAGCTGGACTTTTCAGCAGGTACTGACAGGCAAATCAGTTATCCTACCAAAAACTTGATTATGACCTGCTGTGTGTCTATTTTCTTCAGCAAATTTTGATGGGGCTCCAGATTCCTTTTTCCTTTTCTAACATCCTAGGAAGTATTCCAGTGATACTGTAGATCTACATATGTAACCCACAACTCAGATGGTGTAAAATACAGCTGTTTGTTAAAAAGCTCAATCTGCAAAATCAGAGTCAGAAGCAAGGAGGCTGCTGAAAGAGAGAAAGCAGGCTATGGATGAGTCAGAAGCAAAGCAGTCAAGAGGGGAAAGGGGAAGAAGCTGTTCTAGAATAAATGTATCTGCTTACTCATGTATCTTCTCCTGCCTTACATCTTCCCTCTTCTGCCTTATTTCCACATAAAATCTGAAAGTGCTTTTACTTCAATACCCTTTAGGAAAGTATTAATGGAATGTGGACATACATGTAACTCACATGTACTTAATATTTCATATATGACACATCCTTTTTGTTTCTGTTGCACCACTGTCTAGACATGCACCGATCTCATGCAGAGTCACATCTGAGCATCTAAAATTATATAAGAATGACTTGTTGGAAAATGAATCGTACTACCTGAAAGTAAGCCTCCACTCTTTCTGCGCAAAAATCTCATGTTTACGAACATCAGATTAGTCACATCACTTATAGATCTCCTCAAGTGTATGCATTATTTGATGCATCATAAAGCCTGCCTCTGTGACAATAAATCAGGAGTTTAAATTTGTTGCTTCCATGAAAGCTCTGAAAGCAGAAGAGTGGTCATGCTTAAAAGTTATTTATGATGTTAGTCCACAGGTTCTATATGCCAGTTGTAAAGGTGTATGTAAAAACAACAGTTGCAATTTGAGGTTGTCTCATTTATTGAGGCAACCACAAAGCATGTAACATACCCAAAAGTGACATGTGGCAGTAGGTGATCTTCCTCCTTTGTATAAATCACTAAAAAAGTGTGAGTGCTTGTGTGGCTCAGTGAGTTATTCCAGCAGAGTTTCCATAGGACCTTAATGGGACACTATTGAGAGAAATGTCTTATTTTCACCTGGGCCTCATCTACACATAAACATTTCTTCCTGAAACTAAAGCCAACAACAGTTCACGCTTAGAAACTAAGTGAAGTTATTAGGTTTCTCAATGTGTATGAAAATTTTTGCAGCAATGCTACACTTTTTAAACATTTAGGTCCACTATAAATATTTATATGATGAACTTTGAGGACAGTTCTTAACCTTGGTATATTATTCACCAAATATGGGGGATTTCAAATTTAATTCACTGCTGTAATTGGCTTCATGGAATACTACCCTACTGCATTTTGTAGATCTGGCAGTGTTACTGTAATGACTTCAAAAATAAGTATTTCAGCAATGTTGTAGAATGTGGCAAGGACTAGGTATGATCTGCCCTTAGAAATCCCATTCACCTGTAAATATCACCTTCCTGGGAAGGAAGGCCTCCTTCAAGTATTTCAGGAGGGAGGTACACTAAATCCTGGCAGTTCCTCTGACTGCAGTTCTGCAGGTCTGACCTCAGTTGCTGTTTCCTCCAGTTGGTTAGACTGTAATCTGATATCTGCAGAGATGGGAGAAAAAGTCCATTTTAGTAACAATACCTTAAGTCTTTATATTAAATTTTGACTATTCGGATAAATACATGCAACAATAGGACAATCACTGGTTTTTACATTAATAGGCTAAAAGTAGAATCTCCAACCTTGGCTCTGTACTGCATATCCAAAAGCACATTGGAAGGTTTCAGTCTGCAGTGGCAGAAAGCAGGCTCAAGGCTGTGAAGGTGATGCAGCCCTTCAGCCACATCTGACAGGATCCTTAGGAGCAAGGGAAATGGAAGTTCTGGGTATAGCTGACGCTAAGTAACACAAAATACAGGTTTTAGTAGTGTGAAATTGTTACTATTCATATTTTAATTTGACAACAAACAGAAGTACAACACAGAAGCTAAAGAACAGATTGACTGTGACTACTGTGCATAATTTACATACTGATTTTCTCTGTTGGCTGACCTTGTAATTAATTTTGTCACATAAAAGATGACTTTTTATGTACCTCATGGATGAGAGAATGGAGGGATCCATTGTTCATCCATTCAGTCACTATCCCCACAAGTCCATGGTACTGGTAAATCCCAAGAGAAGGCAGGAGACGTTCAGATTCATAGCATCTGACACTTGCTATATCCTGAAGTAGCAACTTCCACTCCCTATAAAAGAAGAAAATGGTTAGAGGCAGGTTAGACTGGAGAGAACTTCAGCTAGAGATGACATAGTGTAGGATACGGAAATGAGAGATAACCGTATGGTTGAACACAATCTAATATAATTCTACAAATAAACCAAATATTATATCATCTTCCAAACAATTCTAAGAAAGTGAAGCAATCCCTTGTGTAGTGTATTTTTCTAATATAACATGAAAGACCTCTGAGTGCTTCCATATGAACATAAGAGCACGGTTTAAAGCAGGACTGAAGTGCAAAGGCAGGAGAAAGCTGAATTATATGAAATGCTAGATTAAGAAAAAGCAACTTTTTTCCCCCCTTACTGTCCCCAAGAAATTGTATTGTATCCTTTTGCTATTAGTGGGATCCCCAGTATATAAATGATACATGATATAGCATGTCAAAGTGAAGACAAGTTCAGATTTGATGTAAGCAGTGACTTTGCCAAATTTGATTGAAGTTCAGCTGCTGTTGGACTGTAGACCTGAATTCAGAGTTTATTTACAGAGGATAACAAAGCTTTGCTTTGATCATCAGAAGAAGAATAAAATTTTGTTGTCTGAGGACTTCAGTTACTTCTTTGTGCACAGGAAACACTGAACTATCAATTCAATTGTGCATTTTCATGGATATAACTGGACTTCTGCTAGAGGTTCGATTTTTTTTTTTTTTAATTGTATGTTTGATTTTAAAGATCTGATGACTCTATGGGACTTGTGAGCTGGAAACTCATTTAAATTAATTTAGAATGCGGTTGATTTCAACAGACCTGGAACTCTTCCTCATTATTCTAACCAGCCATTACAGTGAGATTTCAGTTTCAGTTTCTCATATTTACTGTGTTGATTCTGAAGCCTGTAAACTAATCACTGGAAGTAATTCACAGCCCCACCCATTTTAACACTTATTTCCACAAATCCAAATATTTATCATCAGCACACACTTAAATGTTTTGCAGCCAGAGTAAAACACAATTTATTCAACCAGTTTTCCTAAATACTGTAGTGTAAACAAGAGATCAGAATGGTAGAAGGAGAGAGAAAAGCAAAACAGTGGCTTTAGTTTTAGGGAGCAAATTTGAGTGCAAAGATGCCAAATCAGGATTGAATGTTAAATTCAAAGCAAAGTAAAATGTTGATTTCTGTAACTATTTTGTTTTGGGTCTTGTTTGCTTGATTTAAAGAAAATGTGGACAGAGGAAAATTTTGTTCTTTAAACAACCTAATAAACAAATGGCATTTCTTCAGATTACAAAATTGCTAGACTTCTGTCTAAAAACAAGCAATCCTCCCCCCAACCACAAAAAAAAACCTTAAAGTTTTCAACTGTTCCCCAACAGGCAGCATTTGTTTTTTGAAGTATCACTAACAATATGAACTGCCAATTTAAAAATATTTGTATGAAATACTGTTTTTTCCTCCCCTGCCGTTATAATGGAACAAATTAAACACTATCTATTTGAGCAAGACACTTTTGTTTTTTACTTTTAACAAAAGCCATCTGAATGGGAGCTTCTCAGTTAACAAGAGTAACTAGTCCATAGATGCACATCAGACACTCCTTTTTTGATCAAGTCAGATCAGTGCGTTCCCTAAAGTACTTTGGTCTTGCTTCATCAAAAGTAGATTGTTGTTACGCCTGGAAGCTTTCTGTGGTTTTGTTGCACACTGGAGTTTTGTGGCCAGTAGGTTGATGCCTGTCAGTTCCTGCTCGTTTTTATAACTAGGACACGTACGCATCTCACTGCCCTGTAACTCTGACCATTCTCCCTCCCTCCTCCCATTTCTCTACTCTCTCATCTGGTGCATTAGACTAAGATCTCATCAGGGACCTCCAGAAAGATGGAATACCATAGCATGCTGAGTATTACTGATCAGGGTTTGTAGACGTTATTATAGTAGAGATACTTAATGACTTCAGGATCAAGCTCTACTTTTATAAAAATTTGTAAAAAGCCATAAAGCTTGTTTCTCAGTATAACTGCCTCCAAGCTGCCTCTTGGCTTGTCAGGATTTCTAGGAACGGAGGTGTGTTTAGGGATCAGAAGATCCTGGGCGTGCCATGATTCATTCTGGTGCTATGGCTGCAGGTCTCTGCTGCCCACCTGCGTGGTTGGTTGGCCAAATAAGACACGTACCTCTCTGTAGTGTCCTGGCTGGCCAGCAGCTTCACAGCGATGTGAGTGTTCCAAGAAATATGAAAGGCTTTGAGTGCAAAGCCTGAGCCTGTCCTGGTCAAGGTAAAGCTATCCAAATCTTCCTGGGCTACTACAGGTAGTGATTTGGCCATTTCTTGATGGCTGGCTTGGGGAAAAAAAATGACAGAAAAAAAGTTTTAAGGACTACTGCCAAAGCACAGTGAAGTTGCACCACCCCTTACTTCCCAAATAACTATTACCTAATCCAACAGGCTTTTTTTTACCACTCTGTGTCAGACTTTCCTTATAAAGACAGGAAAAACGCACTAATTGCAAAGGAGTGACTGGACCATAACTTGCCATCTTAAGCTGCAAGGTGCTCATTAATTCCTCATTATTATTGCCATCTGATGACTTTGAAATGTTGGGCAATTATTTATACTCTATGATTAAAATATGATTTTTAAGTGATACTGAAACTAGTATCTTACAGTTACATGCTAGACAAATATAGTTTCTCTGCTTCTCATAAAAAAGGCAATTATTCGGTAACTCATGTCAGTGTGTGCTGCATCATTCTCACATATCTTCTTTAATACAACATCATACATGAATGCAAAAGCAAGGTTAAAGGCGAATTTCCTGCTGCTGTAACCTGGCAGAACTCTGCTAAATGGAATTGTGTTTTTAGAGCAGCCACTAATTTGGCCGATACTCTCTTTATACAGTACCCCTCTAGGGCCATCTGAATGTCTCAGACACATTGCATGGCAATGCATGTGGATTAGAGATAACCTCTGCAAAGCACCACCGTGTTACTACACAAGTAGCATTTTTAATTACATCTGTGAAGCTACATTAGAGATAACCAAAAGTCAGTGGTGAAAGAGGAAAACAGGCAAGCTAAGAACACAGATGGGATAAAACCATTGGTAAGGATTACTGCAAGATCAGTGGTCAGTGAGTCAGAAGAACTCAAACTGGAGTACTCCCTTCAGGGTCCAGTAGACCAGAGCTAGAAAAGGAAACTTGAGCTAACTGAAGGAACAGGAACAAAAACTTTAAGTAACCAGTAAGGACTATTGAGTGTGAGTTGCGTCCTTCTAGAAGATGGGCTCTACAAAAAGAGCTCCTGGGATGCAGAAGGCCTGAGTCTGCTGACTGTGAGCAGATCACCTGTTCTCCACAAGTAAAATAGAAACAAAAACCTGAAGATAAATTAGCCTGTGCTCATGGCTGTACTGCTTCTACATCATGACCAATTTATTTTCAGTTAATCTTAGAATCTCAGCTGTGCCATTCAGGCACATTCACAATCAGAGGGGTACTAAGCTCAGTTTTGCATCTAACCGCAATCAAAATGCAAATAAAAATTCAGCAGCTGATTTACCAGTTCAGCTTTAACAGTATTTAATTCTGATAGGAAAGTACAGTTGTACTTTTTGCTTTTTGTTAGATTACTGTAGTTTGAAATCAATAGCTGCCTTAGGTGCTTCACTTAGAGTTTCCTTAAAGAATAAATTCAATATAGTATGAGGCTGACAGACAGGTTATGAGTTTAATAACATTTGAAAAGATTCCTCTGACTGAAGATCAATTTCCAAATGGGCCATTTATCCTTTAAAGTTGCAAAGACAGTCCACACGGATCTACTAATCCTAAATATAAAGGAGGTAGTCAAAAGGCTGGCAAGAGCAAAATTATGTCTCATTTTTGTTATATACTATGATAAATAATAATTTAAATAGCCAAAAGAATTTACTCAACTCCAAATATAATACAAGGAAGGTCAAACAATGAATACAGAATCTAAACCATTCCTGAAAGTATCTGTTTTTATTTAAAATTGAATCAAGTAAAACTATAACAGTTTCTTGAACTCTTGCTAACTGGCTACTTAGATAAAAATAAAAGCTAGCCATCAGCTCCTACTTCGGATTTGTAAAACCTAATTTACCTAGAGATTTTCTAAAACCAAAATGAAAATCACTTTTATCTTTCTCTGTTACAAACCATGACATGCCAAGCACCACTGTACCTGTGTCTGAGTTTGTACATCTGTTTCCACACTTTGATTTAGAGTTATTTGCTGATAAATCTCCAAAAGATTTTAACCCTAAAATGAGAAATCTTTTATTTATCTAGGGTACTACCCAGATTCCTAAAACATTTGGAAAGGCTAATCATGGAATATGGGACTGTCATTATTTGCCGATAAAGTCTCTCTCTACCCCCCAAATTGCAAGTTTGGTACCGAAGCCATGTTTTACCAACAGTTCTGCTCTTCCGAATGCGTTTTCTCCTAGACCCTTTTAAAAACTCACTATCAAACCACAAAACTAATATTTTTTAGATGACCTTTGCTATGAAGGGTTTTGTGTGATTTTTTAGTAAGACACTAGAAGTTTCAGACAATTTTGTCATCCTCCCCTGGTTGGGCAGGAAGGAGACTGCTATAAAGCTATTTATATCAAGTTTCTAATTTTAAAGGTAATTTTTAAAAAGTAACTCATAGCAAAACCATTTCCCTTAGTATGAAAGAAACTCTACATTATATAAATATTCAGATGTCTCAGTAGAAGAAACTGGAAATAAAACCAACTTACCTCTGGAAATTCGGGTATAAGAACTACGGAACAGTGGAGTGGAACTACTGCAGATACCTAGTGCGAGTTGGCTTTGAACTGTATTCAAACACAACTCGAGTTTTCCTGCATGAGTCAGCTGCGTTGTTGATTTCTCTTTTTATTGGCTGCCTGCAAACGTCTTAAATTTCCTGGTCAGATATGCAAGCTGTAACTCTTTAGTGACAGCAGATGGGTTTTCACAGGCTGGTTTGTCAACTGCCTGTTATTAGAGCGATTACAGGAAAAGAGGTTGGCTAGCTGCTTTTTGCTGCAGTGAGGTATGCCAAGAGGGAAAGCTATATAAGAGTGAAAAACACCATACTGGACACAGCCCAGATATGGAAACATATAGAGCTGCTTGCAGATTGTTCAGCTGATGCTTATCTCTACAGTAGATAGCACAAGTACAAAACCACTTTAAACTTTTAAAGTTAAGTTGATCTTAAAACAGGATGAAAATTGCTTTTTTCTGGTTACAGGGTAGGTAAGCATAGAGGTAACATTAGGTTGCAAAGAAGTAAAGATCAGTTGGCTGTCAAGTAGCCCTGCTGAAAAGGATGTGGGAGTTATGATGGAAATTAAGTTGATCACGAGCCAACAGTGTGCTCTCACCACAAATGGGGAGGACTGCATGCTGCGCTGCATTAGAAATGCAGCCAGCACAGTGAGAGAATTCATTATGCCTCAGTACTCAGAGTTGGTAAGGCTGCATCTGAAATACTGCAGCCAACTTTAGGGCCCTTAGTTCAAAGAAAATTTTGAGAAACTGGAAAGGATGCAGTAGCTCCAGAAAGCTACCTAGAGCACATACCTTACAAGCAGAGGTTGAGGGAACCAGTCTTGTTTAGTCAGGTGAAGGAGGCTGGGGGTGGAGGTATACTAGAAGCCTACAGCTATTTTAAGGTCAGTTATGAAGATAAAGCCAAATTATTCTCCATAGGGGCAGGTAATAACCAGTGGCATAGGCAGATGTCCCTACTTCAGAGGTTCAAGCCAAATGCTATAAAAAATTTTTCACCAGGTAGATAACGCAGTACTGGCATGGGCCACTCAGGTTGCAGTCTCCATCCTTTTCTAGACTCTGCTAGGCAAAACCATGGCTGACCTCGTCCAGCACTGCTGGTAGTCCTGCTTTGAGCAGGAGGCTGGGCTAAAATGCCAAAAATCCAGAATATCTTTCATTTTGTGAAAACTCTGTAAGGCCTAATTGTGTTCCTGCTAGGGCCCCAGCATATACAGTCACACTGAAGGTTGATGGGACTGCTAGATATCGGGTGGAGACTTTAGGAGAAAGCAGTCATTTCAGCTGATCACATGCATTCAAACTTTCCACTCTGTGAAGACTGCTTTTATTTATAGAGTCTGACTTTAAAAAAATCAGTCAGTCAATGAGATCCTGTCCACAGACTTCTGCTGGTTTTGGATCAAATCCTAACCTCCTCAACAGGGAAGAAACAAGCAGTAGAGCAGTTACTTAATCCTCATATGATCATGGGAAAGTCCCTTATATCTAAAAATCAAGTGGCTAAGGCTCTGTGGCCTGAGAGGAAGCTCACTACAAGTAGGAAACATGAAGTATGCTTCATATACAATGTGTTATTTCCTGACAGCTGTAGCTGTGTGACCAGCATCAGCTTTCTCTGCCCAGCACACCCCTCCAAAAGTGAAATTAGTATGAGGGAGCTGAAGTAGCAAAGGTAAAACAAGTCAGCTGTAGCAGTCCTGGAGAAGGCTGGAAGCATGTCAAGTTGCTGTGGCCACAGGATCCTCCTCCCTTTGGCTTCGATTTATCAACAACACATTCATTTGTGTTCATAGTCTACACTTCTGTAAGAAGTACATTAAAAATATTTTCCCCTGTCAGGCTCAGACTGTACTGCAGCAGAATCCCAGCTGTTTGAAATCCTTACAACTAATTAAAGAGACTTCTTAGGGGGAGTTTTGTAGACAGTTGGAAGGACTTAATTTTGCAGAAATTCTTTGACACTTAATGTAGTCTTAGGTACTTCTGTATTTTTAGAATATCACATGCTGGGGAAGCAGAGTGCTAGAACAATCCTGAATTTGCTTACTCCTTTTGACTATTGTTTTCAGATTAAAAAAACCTCCATATAAAACTATAAAGCTTAATTTTAATCCATATTTGGAGAAGCCAGAAACATACAGGCCAATTTTCAGTGCAGGTCTGAACTAATTAAACATCATTATTACTGAACATGTTAATCATAATGAATCAGTATTTTACCTACTTATAATTTATCCAGAGAAATGTAAAGCCTTTCACGTAATATAAAAGCTTATAAATAATGGGCAAGGAGGAAACCTCTATAGGCTCACACAATGTCTGTCTTGTGCAGTAATTAGACAAAATTAAGAAAATCAAAGCGTAGTTGGACTGTCAATAAATTGTTGGGGGGTTGTTTATTTGGTTGGGAGGTTTTTGGTTTAGTTGGTGTTTGTTTGTTTGTTTTTAATTATAGAAAATACTTGGAATAAAACCTTCCAGCAAGGAATAATGGGTAAGAGACATTGAATCTTTCTAATCTCCTATGCATAGGGTTCATTCATTGCCACACAGGTACCTAAATACATATAAACTGCAGAAGTACAGAAAACTCTTGCCAAAACCAGTAGCTGCTTGATGCCCAGAGACTCTGTGCTATCATCAAGGGCAGGGAAAGACCAAGATCGTAACAGAAATACCACCGAGTGCACTTCTGACCATATGCAAGGAGAAACAACAACAAACAGGAAGGTAATGAAGAGCACTTGAGATGACCATTATGTGTTTGCAGGATTCCTTATCTAGTGAATGAATCCACCCATCACAGCAGGATTGGAATTACATATAGCAGACAGTGTCTGACTATAACTGCAGGAAACATTTAGAGACAGTATGTTATTTCTCATATGTACATTTGCTCATGCTAAGCGGCAGCCCAAGTCTTTCAGAAGAGCCGTGGATCTCTAAAAACCCAAAGACCAGTTTTTATTTAATTCAGAAGACAAACAAAACTCTGACCCTCAGAGTGTCAAAGAACAAACAGTAAAAAAACATATTTAAACTTTTCAAAGTGTCCAAAGAAGGTCTTTTAAAACCTAACCATAACAATGCAAGAACAAGAACATTTGCTTTTTCATTCCAAACTAGGTTTTGTGGCTCACTCACAAGCTAAGACAGTATATAGGGAACACAAGCATGTTCTTAACATCTTAACATCCTGAAAATAAGAATAATAGTGATGCCTAAAGGGTAACTGTGTTTAAGACATGAGTGGTTTATAGGTCTCCCCCTCATAACAGTCATGCAGAATGAACCCAGTTACAATCAGATTTAAAACAAATGGGAGCTTCACAAGAAGCAACATTAAAGGACCATAGCATAAGACAAAGCGTTAATAGAGTGAGTATGCGCAATAAAAGAATGACATAGGACCAGAAGTTCGAAGCATTAAGATGACCCAAATACCAAAGCCTCTGATGCATGTTCAGTAAATACTACACTTCGATATTTCAGAAGAGTTCCCATCAACATTTCTCAATCTGGTTATTCCAGTTAAGCATCTGTACAGGATAACTTTTGACAAAGAGGTATGTTCTAAGGTGCCATTTCTTTGGCAAGGTGAAATACTCCTGGACTACAGACAGTTTAGGGCAGCGTACTTCAGCTTGTTAAATGATTTGTAAAAAGTGCCCTAGTCCACATCCCAGGCGTCTGTGATCTGTTTTGGACTATGATGTGCTAAACAGTATTAAGACAGGGTGGAGAAATGCTAAACCTCAAGGTCCATCAATTATGTACCTGCAGATAAATAGTTCCACTAAGCTAATGGTGAAATGTCAGAGGCCTAGATTGTATGACCTCGCTGTGAATGTACAGCATAGGTATGTAAGAGAATGTAAGCAGGCTTTCGAAGCCCTTACCTATACCAAGCAAAACTCAAGCTCTTCTAGGCAAAGGAACACAGTGAGCACTCCCTCTTGCTCCCCTAAGGATACATGTTCCAAGGAGAGAAAGTACAGCCATTTTCATCAAAGCCCCAAAAGAAGCCCATCCTATAGAAGAGCATAGCACTAACATCTTTACCAATGCCATGCCTTCCTCCCAGATTTTCTACTGGAAAGTAGGCAAGTTTTTTAATTGGCTTGATCCTAATTATTGTGTTTACCTGACAATTTTGAAATACGAAAATATGCAGGTGAGCACAAATAATCAACACAGAATTTTTAAAAAGTCTCATCTAAACTAAATGTTGTTTTTCCATTGTGGGACTGGTTTGGGTTGGTTTGTTTTGGGATTTTTTTTGTTTGTTTTTTCAAAGTTGCAAGAACACATACACTAAAGGCATCTGAAAGATACTGATTGCTACTGACTTCCTTTTAAGAGCCGGTATAATCAAGTCTGTAAGCTGCTTGCATTTATTTACATGGAATAAGAATTCTGAATTGCTGCAGTAAACGTCAGTGGACTTTGTCATCTAGGAAACACTGTGCTTATTGTGAAACTGTGCTCTACTAAAATTGACTTCTATTGAGTTCATATTCTTTGAATTTGGTGATTAAGACACTAAACTGGAATTAATTCCGACACTGCTGAAGATGAGTACTTCCTTTTTTCTGTGGAAAGCAGCCAACTAACACAGAGGATGTTGAAAAAAGAAGAATTTACCTTGGTTTCTCAACAGTCTTTCCAACCACAGGTGTCATTGCCCTTTGCAGATCAAAGAAGCCTTTGTCAACCTGAGAAATTTTAGCTGGGCTAGAATCCATGAATTATAAGTGTGATATGAAGATAGCACCTAAAAAAAAAAAAAAAAAAAAAGAGAAAACAGGTCTTTTTATAGCAAAAAAAATCTAATTATTAAACTTCAATCCTGTTCAAAATTTATTAATAAAATAGTTTTAACAGATCTTGCAGTAATCAAGGGGCTAAGAACAAGTTTCAGCTTTCATTTGGAGGCTGCCAAATCAAAACTGTTGGAAACTCTAGTCATTACAGACCCAGGAGTTTGGAAGACAACTAAAAAGAACACAAAACATTGTTTATTACACAGTCTCATTGAAAACACAT